AATAAATAAATAAATAAATAAAAATAACACAGACCATTACTTTAGGAGCTGATGCAATTCAGACTGCTCAGAGACTTTTTGGCAGCATTTTTAATGGAATGAAAAATGTTCTAGCAGATCATTCTTTGTACTGCACTGGTTCTTATTACTGTTAACACATGGGATGTAACGAGGTGACGAGAGGGAGATATTTGAATGAAATAATTTGATAGATTTCCAGATATATATGTGTGTGTGTGTGTGTGTGTGTGTGTGTGTGTGTAATATAAATACTATACCTAGACCATTACCTAAAAGCAGCTTGAACTTTTAACTATTCCCTCCAAACTAGGATGAAACATGAATTCCTGAACAGTTTGTCTCTATTAAGGATGAGCAAGATTACAACTAACAATTATCACTGGATGACAGTGACATTAAAATGATCCTCAAGGTCAAGATATTTCCCTTAATATTGCAGCTGTACTGGATTGAAATGTCTCCTCTATACATAGCATGTTTACTTTTTTCTTACATTCTAAACCAGGCAAAAATAATTTATGATTTTTAAAAATGTGTATCTATCCCAAAGAGGAATGTTGGCACTCAGTCTTAGAGCTGAATCACTAAGATAATATTCTGCCAAAAATTGCTGCTATGACCAGTACTTGAATTTTTGTTAAATATGAACAGATTGTGGACCCTCTCTCAAGGACTTGGAGAAATGTAATAAAGCAACTTTTTTTTTTCTTTTAAAGTAGGGGGTTAACAAGCTTTTCAGGCACTATGATGCAATTTTGTGAAACGGTGAGGGCAAATAAATAAATCCTTTTAAAAATGGCCGACATCTCACAGGCGTACCACATCTTTCAACTTCAAGTCATGCAAGATTGGGTGATCTTGTGAGAATTTGGCTAAGTGAAAGTTTCAACACACCAAACTGTGTTTACGTTTCTTAAAAGGGAGACAAGTTTTTAAGAGCCAGGATATGTTGCAATAGGGCTCTCATCAGGCATGTTATTGAGTTCAGGATGCTACATACAACCTACACAGCACTCCCAGGAATATCCATTCCCATCATCTAAGCTGCTTTGAGATGAGCTATTTGTCTTTCAGATCTCAAGTAGCTCATTATTAATGGAATCCCCCTATCCAACCACACAAAATTACTTACTTGCCATTCTAGGGAGAATCCTATTTAAAGGCCACATGGATCTCAACAGATGAGTTGGTGAATTTAACTTCCATATCTACAGACAGCTGTAACTGAAAGTAGTATGGCAGTGTTTCTCAACCTTGGGAACTTTAAGGCGTGTGGACTTCAACTCCCAGAATTCCCCAGCCAGCATGCTGGCTGGGGAA